CTTGGACAGCACAGAACTCAGCACAGTACTGAGTACCGAGCATTCTGTGCTGTCGGAGGACTCACTCCCCTCTCTCCTTCACTCCCTCCACATTCCCCTGCCTCCCTCACAGGGCCTCCTTGACCCAGGAACGGGAACAGAAGCAGCAACGGGGTAGGGATGCTGTCTATAATCCCAGGTATTGTCCCTGATGCTCCATCTCTATGTGGGAACTAAACGTCCCTGTCCCATCGCAGGTCAACCCCTGCCCCTGAGCACCAGCACCTGTCCCCTCAAGCTGCTTCCTCCTCTCACCTTCCATCTCTCATGATGGAACTCCTTCCCAACCATTTCCAGGACGTGCTCCATCCCTCGCTTTCCTTCCTAGACACCTTCTCAATAGGGCATCCTCAATCCCTTGTTACAGGGCACCCCAGTGTGAACTGGGTTGCCTGTCTGTGGGTCCTCACCCACCCGCTTACGATTCAGTCGTATTATGGACACACACAAAAAAGGTTCAGTACTGGGTTTATTTACAAGGAGAAAGGTAAAGGAATAACGCAGGGAAAGAGGGAGAGAAATACAAGTAACTAGAATGTCCTACCAGTTCTGCTTGGACTCCACCAGCTCGCTGAAAACCCATCGAGAGCCAAACGACCAGACGCGAGCAACCAGGTCAAGAGACCCCGAGAGCCCACAAGTCTGGTTTTATCCTAACCGGCTACTCAGCTCTGCTCGAAACTGTACCGGTTACACCTCCACACCAAAGTCCCTCACATCTCACCCACTCGCCCTTCAAGCCACCCCAACCTGCCTTCTACGCTTCCAGTTCATGGTACCATTCATGAGGAAGAGGAGTGTGGTCACCCACGAACCAGGATGTCCCACCCAAAGGTCATTTCCTTAGCTGTTCTTGAGCCACTGAGCATGCCTCAGTGGAGGACCTGTTCTTGTGTTCCAGACTGAGCTTCTCTTAGCTTCTACAACCAGATTATCCCTTTCCCCCCTCACCAGCCGCTCTTCTCAGACATCTCTACTGCTCCAGTGTGCTTCTGCCTGTGCCACCTCTAGCTCCTACCTGTACACTCTCGTCTAGGATGCGACCTCCCCAGACCCATCCACAAATGGACAGTGCTGAAAACTGCCTCTATCTCATCAGGTGAGGTACCCCACCCCTCACCATTAACTCTGGAATGCCCTCTCCCCCCACCCAGTCCAACCTCCCCTCCCCTCAGGCTATGCTCAAGTTCTAACTTCTCCAGGAAAATAAATCTTTCAGGGAACTCCACAGCCACTGATCTTTTCCCCCTTTCATGCTTCCTAAAGCATTTAAACAGTCAGCATACAGGATTTAGTGCTTAATTACAGGCCATCTGTAATTGTTCCCTAAACGTCTGCTTCTTCCATGCAAATCCTTTCTCCCTAACTGAATCCAAGCCTTTTGTGTACCTGGCACTAAGTAGGCACTGATAATATCCAATTATCAGTCCTTTGATAGTCAACAAATTACCATTTTATAAAGCAAAACCAAACTCATGCACTCCTTTAGATTCTTAAATGCTCTGAGAAAAATCTCAACTTTGTCTCTCAGTTCCCTGACAAATCATAGCTAATTAAAACCACACACACCTTCGTACTGAATGACCATATAACATCACGAGGAAAACATAACCTTTGGGAAAAGCAAAGCTAAGTCTCTAAAACTCTCACTGAAGTTTCTGGGGATGGAACCAAGACATGGTCACTAGACAGCTGGAGGCAGGGGCTGGGCTTCAGGCTTCTGTGAAGTCCAGTTAGTTCACTAAACTAAGATGGAGCCTGATTTTTCTTTATTAAACATATAACTTCTCCCATCCTGGCTCTGAACTATCACACTTGAGAGACTAGAACACCCCCTACAGGGCCTGGCCCCCCGCAGCTTCACCAGTGACACCAGGGGCCTGGCCACCTGCCCTGGACATTTCAGCAACATGAACTTCACAAAAGCACAACTGATTCTGCCTCACAATTCCTGGCAGGACAGCTGAGGGGGACCCTGAGGACCACCTTGCAAATCTTCATTTCCTCACCATTATCATTCTCAGCCTTCAGGAGTCAGCCCACCATCCTCCCAGGCTTCATCCCACCCACTGGCCTTCCTTGTGTTCCTTCTGCTCCAAGCAGACTGTGGTAAAGGAACCTTTAACTAACATTCAGTCTGGAACTTAACCGTGAATCATCCTCCCCAAATTCCTGCGGTTCCCTAGAGAAAGAAAACCATGTTTTTACTCATACTCTATCGTAATCTGAATAAGGTCTCCCACCCCCAAAAGATGCAACTCCTAACCTCGGGTACCTCTGAAAGTGCCCTTATTTATTTAGAGCAGGGTCTTGACAGAGGTAATGAAGTCACATTTGCTGGGATCATCCAGGACCCGTCAACCTTTGAATTTAGGGTGGACCCTAACTTCAATGAGTGGAGTCTGTGTAAGAGACAGGAGGGTATTTGAGACACAGGGATGCAGGGGGCGGGGTGGAGAGGGAGGAAGGCCCCATAGAGAGGAGGCACCAAGACAGAAGACTGGATGGGACTGCCACAATCCAGCCGCCATCAGAAGCTGAGGAAACTACAGGGCACTTTTATGAAAGAAGCTAAGGAGTCAAGTCTTCACAGTCCTCCTCACAATGAAATACCATTTTGGGCTATGACTGGATGTGCATGGGTATTAGCTAGATTTACTATGGCGATCATTTTGCAACACATACAAAGAACAGAATCATTATGTTGCACACCTAAAACTAATGTGCTATATGACAGTTGTATCTCAATTTTTAAAACTGAAAAGCTATGAGAAGCAGGAATTCACCCCCAAACACTTTAAGGGGAGCTTGGCTCTGCAGACCATGCGGACTTTCACTGTCCAAAATTGTGAGAAGTGCTTAAAACGTGTGTTTTAAGCATCAAATGTGTGATCATCTGCTGCAGCCCTGGGAACACTCAGTCCAAACCTCAATTGCTGCCTCCAACCTAGGAACCCCATGGCAAAAATTGTCGAAATGCAGAAAGATGAAGGCAAGAGAGAAAGATAAGAGAGTCTCATGTGCCAGGCAGGAATATGAAAAAAGAGCCCAGTTGCCCATTCACTAGGGACCTGGGCAAGGCACTTAGGGAGAGGGATTCTTTCATTCCTTCTTAAAATGAGAGAAATGGTCCAAGAATCCCTTCTAATATGCCTCAAACCGCTGTCACTCAGATCATTATTTTATTTGATCCTTCAACTTTTTTTTTTTCCTGTCCACTAAATAAATTGTATTACTTCTATCTAAAGCATTTTCTGGTGCCACCAAAAAAAAAAAAAAGGACATTTCAAAGACATATTTTTCAGGCATGACAAAATTTAGTCAAATAGTGGAGCCAACAGACATTTCTACAGCACCTCTTTTCCCTCCAAAACAAAATCAACTACTTTAAGTGGTAGATCTCGTCCAGCTAGAACTGTGGCTATTTCAGAAAAACTGCACTGCAACTAGAAGCGTTGAGGCAGTTCTGGCCCAGAACCTAACTGCTGCTAATGCAGTTGCAGGATGACTAACATGGGCAGGTAACCAGAGACCTGAGCAGGGGCCTTCTGCATTTGTCTCTAGACCATCACTACGGTCCAGCCCCAAAGTTCCTCTCATTCATAAATACATAGATAAATAACTGCTGCCACTCGCAAATGGTTACATTTGATAGAGGAGCCACAGAAAACAGTAACTTTTACCCACTCCAAGCCCTCCCTAAAGAAAAAAACTACTACACACAACTTCCCTTCGCTAACTGTAACAAATGTAAATGAAAAATAGACAAAGGCGTTCCTAATGCGACAGACCGCGACTTAGAGTCTTCTCTCCCCGTAGATCCTGCTTCAGTGGGGGGAAATCAGAAACTGCTTTCAGTTTTCTCCCGTGTCGCGCTGACCCCCTGGTCTTCAAGTTTTTACAGTGGCGGCCTCGAGTCTTTTTTAGGAAACAGACCAAAACAACACGGGGGGGGGGGGGGGGGAGAAGGAGTCGAGGGACTCACATTTCCGTTTTCAAAGCAGTCATTAAAGATATTTTGAAACTTTTCCCAACCAATTCATCGTTCAGAAAATAAAAGTCAGGAATCACTGGGGGCCAGTGGTTCAGCAGGACCTGGCAGGACCGCGCTTGCAAAACTGGACCGCGAGTCTCCGCACAGAGTTTGCAAACCAAAAACTTTTCCTTCCAGGTGCAAACTCCATTCGAAAACCAACTCCCTCGAGTCGCAGGGCTCCGTAGACCCAGAGCTTTCAAAGCCCGAGTTCCCGGCTTTTAAATCAGAGGGCGCGCGCACAGGCACGCGCGCACACGTGCACGCGCACACAAGCCCGCGCGCAGCGAGCCGCGGCAAGAAGTGCCGGCTTCACCTCAAAGATGTTTCTAACATTTCACCACTGTTTATAAATGGTGCTGCTTAGCCGTAATAAGCGGAGAGGGGAAGAAAAAAAAAAAACAAAAAGCAAGGAACGGCCTGGGGCGGGGGACGCACACTGCAGAGTCCTGGAGTTGTGCGAGTTTGCAAACTTAGGTCTAAGTGTCACTCCATTTGCACAGATGAAAACAAGGTGCTGCTACGGGTCGCGCGTTTCCTGGAAGCCCCGGCACTGGCTGAATGAGCTTCAACGCCACCGACTGTGTGTGGACTCGCATCCTCACGTGGTGTCGCGCAGCCCCAGGAGCGCGCCGGGGGCCGGGACTGCGCGGGGCGCGGCCGGGAACCCGAAAACTTTTACTCCGCAAACTAGCGGGGCTGGAGGGGGCGGGCGCTCAGCCTCCCAGCCAAGCGCACCCAAGTGAAGCGAACCCCGGCTTGCCCAGCCCCACCCCAGCCTGCAGCGTCCCCAGCACAAAGGCGCGCGGGGCCGGCTGGACCCCAATCCGAAGCAAGCGCCCCGAGAGCAGCGCGCGATCGGAATGCGCCGGGCGGGGGGTGGAGGGGGACGGGCGCAGGGACTCGGCGCGCCCCGCGGGCTACTCACAGGGTGACCGTGCGGTTGGGCAGCGTGTCGGGGGGCAGGACCTGCGCGAGCTCCAGGCTGCTGCACACCACCTTGCCCTCGGCAGGCGCCGCCGCCCGGCCGG